GTATTATAGCTCTCAACGAATTTAGTTCTAATAAATGAATAGGCCTAAAGACATTATGTAATAAAATGCCTCTGGCGGGACTCGAACCTGCGACCTCAAGCTGTCAAGGCGAGTGTCATTACCATTAGACCACGGATGCTTCATGGTTGAACAGATTCAAATACCACAAGATACACTCCATTACACAATAGGTACGGCTAGAAACAATATAGTTGATTATAATATAAATCAAGATAACCATTATTATTATTATTATTAGACCACGGACACTCGCCTTGACAGCCTTTCTTTGATGATTTATATATAATTTAACAGTGTTAACGGCTATCTTGATTTATAGTACATGTGATATTTAGCAACTAACAAGGCCTAATTGGCTAAAAAGAGGACAAAAAAAAAGAAGTCACATCATCAACACCCATCTTTATTTATTCAAGAGAAACTCCAACTAAATCAAAGGGCATAACAGAAACAAGTCTCAAATGCATATACCTAGCTGTAATATGAAATCGTTTAAAGGAACACCAACTCAATGCTCTTTATATTCGAATCCATCCACAATGGAAGTTAGTGCAGGCCCGGGAACACTGGTCATAGGCGACTCCACATTAAACATATAAGGTAAAAAGGTTTGGATAACACCCAGATGAAATACTTCGTGGAGCAAAGATAAAAGATGTTAAAAATGTAATATAATTAAAGTCACTTGACGGAATGAACACAATTGTATTTCACTGTGGGACGAACAACTGCGTAAATGATGACCTAGATATAAGGCAGCAGATGAATACGAAACACTAGTGAAGGAGGTTAAAACAAACTCCAATATGAAAGAGTTATGTAGAGTATGACACTACAACAGAAACAGGTAAATGTCGGAAGGAGTACTTAAATAGAAGCGACTTGCATCTAAGTAAAGTAGGAAACACCCAACTACTGAGAAACATAGATAGCATCCATAAGATCATAAAAAAAAAAAAAAATTATGAACAGAATAACAACCAATGGCATCACAACTACGTGTAGGCCTAAACACAACGAAGAAAACAAATTATGGTTGCTACACTGTGGCGAGACTAATCACTCCACCATAAATTGCAGACACGGAAACTCGATCCGATGTTACAATGCAATGAATGGGACACAAATCTCATCACAATGTGTGCAACATATATTATGGCCATCAGTATTAAGGGTGTGGCCAATAAGAATGCGCTGTTCCAATCCACGTAAAGGGTAACTATATAAACACAGAAACATCTAATGGTAAAAGAAAAGAATTTAATACAAACTATTTCGTAAATTGTACTAATAGATATGATATACTTTCTGATGAACAAGATGTTATTTATACAACAGATTGCATAAAATTTATTTATAATAACAACAATCTGCCGGTGGCCCACCCAAGTTGTACATTGGAGTGATGTGTAGGTTATTGAGAACAATAATATCAACCTATACAAGAAATAATACAAACTATAACAAAAAAAAAACATAAATAAGGAGAGGTAGGAAAAACAAAATTCTAACAAGGTGAACCTTAAAATAATTTATAATAATATCAGAGGCTATTAAAGCAAAAAATATGAAGTCAGTAAGCTTTTAAACAGAAACATTTCTTAAAGATAATGAGGAAATTAACATTCCAGCTTAGATGGATTGGAAAACAAACCTTTTTTTGAGGAATCTCAAGGAGGAATCGGATTCCTAATTAAAAACATTAAATTAATTGACGATAACCTATTTGAAACAAAAGCAGATGATCTAGAACGACTCTGGATTTTAATGGTAAGATTGGACATCATATTCAACAAGGAGATGATATAACAAAAATTATAATGGCAATGGCTTATTAAACTTTAGTGAGGATAGTAACCTTATAATACTTAATAATAGTGAAAGATGTAACCGTAAATATACATGGCTAAAGGCAGTTCTACTAGTATTTTAGACTACATTCTTGTATCTCAAAATGTATATAATATCACTACAGAACTTTGTATTGATGATATGTGTAACTACCACTTAGAGAGTGACCACAACATATTACTGTTAGAATTAATAAATAAGAAAACAGAAACAAATAATGGTAGATATCTAAATAATAATAGAAAAAATAATAGCTGGAAAATATATAAAGATACCATTTCAAAATGCCATTAAATATAAATTTGATAACTGGGATCCCTCTTCCCTTAATGCTAATGAAACATGGGAGTTTTGGAAAACTAACTTAATATAAATAGACATAAACCTCCCAGGACAATAACCACCCAGACGAAAAACCACCTAAAATGGAATATACCATTGTTAAAGTGGGATGGGCAGTGGAGTGGGCAATGTTGGGTGGGCCTGTTTTTATCAGCTTTACAATGCGATAGTTTACACTGTGACTTGCTATTATATGCCTTTAATTCATTCAACTGTTTTGACAACATGCATTTATGTTAATAATCTAAATGTAGATTTTAGTAATCACTGTACTTAAAGTTGCCCTTTTTTAAATGATTTTAACACAACAATTAACTTCAAAGCTTTATGGAATTTCAAATGTAAAATTTGTAGTAAAGTTTTAATACATTTAGCTTTATCGCATTTGTCTATCTTTATAGTATTTGTCTAATATTTTATTATATTATTTTATTTCAATTTCTAAAAAGACTTGTCCCTACTTCTTTTAAAAATTATAATTTTCAATTAAATAGTTCTCTTTAATAATAATAATAATTTAATTGTAAAACACTTTTATTAATGAATGTATGTTAATAAGATCTTACTATTTATTCTTTTTATCTGTTTGGATTGAATTGTAGTAAAACCAGTATATTTCTGTAATAGTGAATACAATCAAAATAAAACAATATTTTATTGAACAGATTGAACAGGTAATTATAACCTGTTCATAAAATTTACTAAATTTCTGGTATTTTATAGTATTTGTCTAATATTTAGTATTCTAAATTTAGTTAAATTTATAAAAGGGTTTTTAATTAAGCATTACTTTCAATTAAATAGTATAATAATAATTTGAATGTAAAAAATAAATTTAGAATAAAATATTAGACAAATACTATAAAGATAGACAAATGCGATAAAGCTAAATGTATTAAATCTTTACTACAGATTTTACATTTGAAATTCCATAAAGCTTTGAAGTTAATTGTTGTGTTAAAATAATTTAAAATAAGGCAAACTTTAAGTACAGTGATTACTGAAATCTACAATGATTATTAACACACATGCATGTTGTCAAAACAGTTGAATGAATTAAAGGCGTATAATAGCAAGTCACAGTGTAACTATTATATTGTAAAGCTGATAAAAACAAGACCACCCAACATTTTCCATCCCACTGCCCATCCCAATTTATCAATGGTATATTCCATTTTGGGTGGTTTTGGTGGTTTATGTCTGATTTCCAAAAATACTATTGGTCACAGGAACAATAATAAAACAATGTACTAAAAGTTATGGTACGATTCGGAAGAGCGCATCGACTATATTGCAAAGCAAAGAATAATCAATCCTACATCCAAAATGACACTGACTCACTCTGGAATGAATATCAAGAGGAACGTAAACATTGAAAGCTTTAATTAAACAAAAGATTCTGCAAAAGAAAGTAAATAAATGTTCTGAAATCATGAATAAAGGAGGGCCCATTGCAAAGATTTCTAAATTGAATTGAAAGGTCTGTAAAACTAAAACTACTAACTCTATTCTTGTAGTACTGACGATATTGTAACTAACCCAGCTAATATTAAAGAATGATTAACATCATATTTTAGTAGTATTAACAAACATGATTAACAACCATAGTTATATTTACGATGAATACGAGTTGTATAATTCAAATAGTGTCCCAAATACTGCTCATTAGAAGAGTTCGAGTTTTCACTCGAAAATGTTAAGAATGCCATATTAAACTCTAAAAATAATAAAAGCCCTGGTTTAGATCTCATCACAAATGAATTAATGAAAAACGGTGGAGATGATATGATTAAATCTTTGTATATTATTTAAAAGAATATCAACTCCGAAGAATGGAATGTCGGGAAAATTATACCAATACATAAAAAAGTGACATTAAAGATGTAACTATAACTTTAAATTCTACGGTATCAAAGGTATACAATACCTAGGCTACTAAACGGTGTCTAATTTTCTTGAAGAACATAATTTACTAACAAAGGTATAAGGTAGATTCCCTACAGATAGAAGATGTGAGAATCGCATCTTCATTTTAAAAAGTAGGCTATTGTAACTTGTCGCCAAGTTGAAGGTAGAAAAACGTATCTCTCATTTATGTTAAATTATCGTTAAAATATATCAACCGTTTCTTTATTTGTTTGTCTCGACATACTATTCTGTATATATACATCTGATGAATTTTGTTACTTGTTACTTGTATAGCGCATTTCTTTTCAGTTACGAAGCGCTGTAAGCGACTCCCCACAATAAGTCAGAAACATCCCCCCGAGTAAAGCTTGCATAGAACCAAACCCATGTGAGCTAACTTAACTAATGTAATAAAGCAATACAAAAATAAGAAAACAGTAAACAAAAACGATCAAGCGTGAATTCACTGAGGCGTCTGTATAAATCATAAAACTGTCATAATAATTCCTATAAACTATAGTTGTGATTGACAATTGGTAATGTCAACATAAATAAGTCGAAAAAAAGAGAGGAACGTCGATAGGCCTACATTAATTGTAGCCGATCCATTACCAAAATTACTTTATTATGCCCTATTTCGGAAATGTGACATTAACACAATA